ATGTGCACAATGTCCAAACGCTAAACATCTCTAAGATATATTTCGTTAAATGTTATTTATTGAACTTCAAAACTCTGAGATACTAGAAAGTCTATTCACTATAGACGATTTTGTCTTAATAATCTTCTAATTTTATATGTTTAGAAAATATTCATGCTAAACAAAATATGTTTATAAGGGTTTTGAAAGGATTTCAACAATGTTGATCAGAATCCAAGTGATTTGAAAATATTTTGAAAAAGCTGATCAAAGCATAAATTTTATCTTCATAAATCGTTTGCTCATATCATGATATAACATTTATGCATTTTCAAGTTATTAGAGCAAATGGATTTAAATGATATGTTTCATAGCATTTGTATCTTAGAGCTATTGATTTATAAATAAGTCTAGGAGATATATCTTATATCATTCTCATATCAACACTATAATGATTCAGTTACAATGATATATTTCATATCAGAGTAACTAAAAAGAATAAGTTTAAGTGATATCTCATAGCTTTCATATATCATAGTTATAAACATATGTTTAAATGATATCTTGTAGCTTTTGCATTAGAGCTCGTACAAATAAATTTTAAATGATGTTTCAAAGTGTTTATATCAGAGCTATATGAAGAATACATCTAAGTTATATCTTGTGGCATTATATGTTTCAGAGTTATGAACTGTATGAGCAAGATCAAATATGATTTATAATAGTGTTTGTCATAGACTCAACAAAAATACCAGATCAGATTATTCAATCATCAAATATTAATGATATATGACTTCCACAAGTCATTAATTGTCTATGCATGGCATGTGCGTATCAAAGCAGCATATGTCATGAATTATTTGAGTAAGCCTGTGTGTATCAAAGCATATGTGGTTAATGAAATACTATCAAAGCATATGATATGGCAACTGTATAAATAATATTAGAGCAAAAGAAAAGATAAAGACATTGCTTTCAAAGAGAATATATTCAATATTTTCAAAATGATTTCAAAACATAATATACTCCCCTTGACTCCTAGACTTCTCCTAATTCCCCATGAGTTAGACAACCTAATAGTATTTAGTATTCTTTCTCCCCTTTATTTGATAAAGATAAAAAATGTTAGGTTAAGACATCATTGCCAAGATGGTGATGGTAAAGGTGGTGGTTGGGTGTTTCACATTAACAGATGTCTTCCTGAGAATTCTTAGTACTCTTTTATTCACTCCAATGTACATCCACCTATGAATTCAATTCTACTTTTGAGTTTGTTATTTTGCTTTTGATTAGTTAGAATTTAGGTACTGATTTTGCTTTGTTTCAATTCTAAATTTTGTACTCAATTGCTTTCTGATGATAGTTGGACTAGGTTAGATTTAATTTTTGGTGCTGATTTACTTTCTCTGCAAGTTAAGGATTTTACATTTTGATTACAATTGTGTTTTGAATTCAGATGTTATCATTTTGCTGTTTTACCCTAGGTTTGATGTGTTTTACAGTGTTAAGTTTGTTGCTTTTGTTATTCAGTGTTCATATTTGATTTGTTCATTTCAATTTCCATGCACATATGTTTCTTTTGTTTTAGACACTCTTTGACTATGCATAGTTAGGTTTAATCTTTTCAGTACTTTAGTGTAGGTTTTATTTCTTTGCATTTAATTTCTTTATTTTTTCTTTTATACAGATTTGATTTCTTTACTCTTTTCTTTTTAATTTCTTTGTTTAATTTCTTTCCCCAACTTGCATTAGTAGTTTAGATAATTAGCACGATTAACTCTACATTTCAAAACTTAATTGTACCGAGTCCCAGGATTGATACCTAGATTATCCATATACTTCATTAGTGGGTAAACTTAGTTTGTTCTGATTTTGTGCGACCAAAATCAGTTTAACAAATGGCACCGTTGTCGGGGACTCGGCGAATTAGGTTTAGGAGTGTAGAGTCAGTCCTTGCATTTATATAGCTTGTATAGTTTTTCTTTTCTTTACTAGGTTTTTGCTTAGTTCTGTCTTAGAGGTCTCAGTGGTCTGATTGGTGTTCTTCTAGTGTGTATTTGGTAAGCATGGATCATTCCTCTGCATATGGTAATCATTTTTTCCCTTATAATTCTCAACCACAAAGTTTTGACCTGTTCTGTGAGCCTTTTATTGAGTATCCTTTGCAGCAACCACCACCACCATATTTTCAATCAATTTGTGAGCAGTCATCCTGGCCTATGCAACAACAACTGCCACATTTATATTGGGAGCAGTGTGTTGCACCATAGCAGGAGAATTTTCAGGCGTTGCAGCCATGGCAGGATCAATTCTGTGATCAATTGCAGCAGGGGATTCCAGCATCTGAATTTCAAGAGATGACCAATGAAGTGGCTGAATCAGTAGCAGTTGTCAAAAAGCTGACAGGGAGAACTGAAGAGGAGAAACGGGCAGCAACCAATGAAGCACCACTGATGGAAGCTGCTGCCCCAGAGTTTCAAGTGATTACATGTCCAACCACCTCTGTATACTCTAATCCTTCTTTCACTGATTCACATTCTGCTTTAGGTTCTGTTAATGCTAATTTTTTCTGATGAGTGATGATTGTATGGATGCATTTGTTGATATTTCTGAATGTGTATGTGAACCTTATGATGGTGATGAGAGTACTGAACCTCATTCTGAAATTGATTGTACTACTGATTTGAACTCTGATTTAAAAACTGAATCTACTGAACTTGAAGTACAAATTGATTTCAGAAAGTCTAAAGAGTATTTGAAAAAATGAGGGAAGCCGCTGACCATGTTTTGGTGCTTCAGTACTATGAAATGGATTTTGATGCTGATGTATGTGAGCATGATATTGATTTCACCGTGTTTGATCATGTGCACGATGTGCCTGTAGAAGTTGTTGATTTTAGTCATTGATTTGATCAATCTAATATCATGAATTCAGCATTTTCCATTGATAGAGTTCATATACCTGCATCTAGTGTTTTTGATGATTGCACAGATTTAAATGCACTTCTTGATGATGAATCAGATGCTCATGATGATAGATATGAAGTTTTTGATGATGTGAAAGTTGATATGGCTGATTTTGAAAATGCTTGTACTGATTTAGGATTAGAACTTGAACTTGAGTTTGCTGGGTTCTTAAATTCTTTAGAACTGAGTAATGAAAAACTCACTGCTTGCACATGTCTTGGGGATGGTTGTGAAATTTGTGAAGAAATCATTTCTGCCATATGTTCTGCTTCTAACTATTTTGCAGGTGTCAAGGAAGAGTTCATTATGTGCAAGCTGGATGGGAATGACCTGAAAAGGCAGCTGGTGAATCAAGACAACAGGTTTTCTCTGAATTGAATATTCGAATTGATATAAAGGAGGTTCAACCTCATTTTAATGTTTTTGATATGTTTAAAGTTGAACTCATAAAAGCTGCATTGAATAGTGTCCCTGTCAAGCCTATGCATTCTCACACTTGTGATTCAGAACTTGAAATAGAACACATTGACATACCTGTGGCTGTTCACTGTCCTTGCACTAACATCAATTTCTATGATAGATTTAATAATGTAGTTGGTGTTTTGGTAAAGGATAGTGAGGTTAATTTTGAGGAGCCAGAACAGGTTTTCTCTAAACTTGAACTTCCTGTTTGTTTGGGTGAAATACAAATTAATGTTGATGATCTTGTGCATGTTGAATCTGAGAAACTCTTGCCTTATCAACCTGGAGGAGAAGCCAATGGAGCTCTCGGCGTGTTCGGTGGAGGGGCTGACATCCACGAAGACCTTGAAGTTGAAAGGCAGAATTGGTGACAGAGAGGTCATAGTGTTGATCGACAGGGGTGCCAGTCACAACTACATTAGTAAAGGGGTGACGGAGGAGCTAAGGCTACAGGTGGCAGATACACCGACTTACTCCGTAAGCTTAGGCGATGGGTATAAAAAATTCACCAGGGCCGCTGTGAAAGGGTGATTGTGCGATTGGAGGGGGTCGACGTGGAGGAGGAATTTTATGTGTTTGAGTTAGGGGGAGTTGACGTGATTCTAGGCTTTGCATGGCTGGCGAAACTGGGAGAGGTGAGAACGAATTGGGGTAAAATGACGATGGAGTATTTAGTAGGAGATAAGAAGATTCAGATAAAAGGCGATCCAACCTTAGCGCGCCAACTGGTGAAACCAAAGAGCCTTTTGAAGGTAGTGGATGCTGAGGCATGGGCGGTGGTTTGGAATCTGTGTGTAGTGGAGACAGAGGAAACACGTGAGTGGGAAGCTGATTTGACGGGAGAGCAGAGTCGTGAACTGGGGAACCTGCTACACACGCACTATCGCCTATTTCGCAACATGCAAGGCCTGCCTCCGACACGTAGCAAGGAGCACCGTATTCAGCTAAAGGAAGGTGTCGACCCAATAAATGTGCGCCCATACAGATATCCGCATCTCATGAAAAGCGAGATTGAGCGTCAGGTAGAAGATATGCTTCAGGCGGGGATTATCAGGCCCAGTTCGAGCCCATTCTCTAGTCCGGTCATCCTTGTGAAGAAGAAGGATGGGAGCTGGCGCTTTTGCGTTGATTATCGAGCTCTAAACAAAGCCACAGTCCTAGACAAGTTCCTCATACCTGTGATTGAGGAATTATTGGACGAATTGAAGGGGGCACGATACTTCTCGAAGATCAATTTGAAGTCTGGTTACCACCATATTAGAATGGAAGAAGGTGATGTGCACAAGACTGCATTTCGAACACATTAGGGTCATTTTGAGTTTCTGGTAACGCCCTTTGGTCTCATGAATGCACCAGCTACTTTTCAAAGCACTATGAACAGCTTGTTGCAGCCATATCTTAGGAGGTGGGTGTTGGTGTTCTTTGATGACATCCTCGTTTACAGCCCAACGTGGGCCGATCATTTGGAGCAATTGGGTATGGTGTTGCAACTGTTAGAGCAGGAAGGATGGATGGCAAACCAAAAGAAGTGTGAGTTCGGGAGAAGGAAGATCCGTAACCTGGGTCACCAAATTTCATAACAGGGTGTTGAGATGGATAGTGAGAAGACAAAGGCAGTCATGGAGTGGGATGAGCCGAGAACCTTAAAAGCCTTGAGAGGCTTCCTGGGATTGACCGGATACTATAGGCGTTTTGTAGCTGGATATGGTAAGTTGGCAAAACCTTTGACAGAGTTACTTAAAAAGGGCAAGTTTGAATGGACAACAGAGGCGCAGACGACTATGGTTAACTTGAAGGCTGCAATAACTTCCGGCCCAGTCTTAGCTTTACCCGATTTCAATCAGGAATTTCACATTGAGTGCGACGCTTCAGGAGGAGGGCTGGGAGCTGTCCTAACCCAAAACAGAAGACCCATTGCTTTTTATAGCAAGGCTTTATCTGAGGGGTCCTTGAGCAAATCAATATATGAGAAGGAGCTGATGGCTTTGGTTTTAGCCATCAACATTGGAGGCCATACCTGGTGGGAAGAAGGTTCACGGTGCACACCGATCAGCGTAGCTTGAAGTACTTGATGGAGCAAAGAATTACCACACAAAACCAGCAAAACTGGTTGGCAAAACTTATGGGGTATGATTTCGAGATTGTTTACAAAAAAGGGACCACCAACAGGGCTGCAGATGCTATTTCAAGGAGAGATGAGGAGGAAACGGAGGAGAAAGAGCTTCGGGCGATATCCAAGCTGTTCTGGCCAGATTTCCAGGAACTTTTAAAAGAAGTGGAGAAGGACGAGACATTAAAAAAATTGATAGCCAATCTACAGAAGGATCCCAACTCGCATGCTTCGTATACCTTGGAGAGTGATAGGCTGCATTATAAGAGGAGGATGGTATTATCTGCGAGTTCGGCATGGATTCCCAAATTACTCGCTGAATTCCACGTGACCAAGACGGGGGGCATTTAGGTGTGTACAGGACGTACCGAAGGATAGCCCAATCCTTGCATTGAGTAGGCAAGAAGAAGATGATTACAGAGTATGTTGCTAGTTGTGTTGTGTGTCAGCAACATAAATACATGACAACATCTCCTTAGGGGCTATTACAGCCATTACCAATACCTTAAGTCGTGTGGGAGGAGATAAGCTTGGATTTTATTGTGAAACTGCCCAAATCGCAAGGGTATGATGCTATCTTGGTAGTTGTAGATAGATTGAGCATGTATGCCCATTTTGTGGCATTGAAACATCCCTTCTCAGCTAAAATCGTAGCCGAGATATTCACCAGGGAAATCATTAAACTGCATGGCATTCCAGTTTCCATCGTAAGTGATCGAGACCCGTTGTTTTTTAGCATATTTTGGAGGGTGATATTCAAGGCACAAGGCACTCAGCTCAAAATGAGCACCGCCTATCATCCTGAGACAGATGGGCAGACGGAGGTGGTTAACAGGATAATTGAAGGGTATTTACGCTATTTTTGGTCCGAATAGCCAAAGAACTAGTATGTTGTGTTGCCTTGGGCGGAGTTCTGGTATAACACCAACTACCAAGGGTCTGCAAAATGAACGCCACTTGAAACAATGTATGGCAGGAGTCCTCCATCATTCAGCAGATTCGTTCCCGGTGAAACACCTGTAGAAGCGGTCGCGCAAGATTTGATGACATGTGACGAAGCACTTAAGCAGCTGAGATTTCATTTAAACAGGGCCCAAGACTTAATGGCACAGTAGGCCAACAAGAGAAGGAGAGAGGTGGACATAAAGGTGGATGATTGGGTCTATTTAAAGATCAGACCACACCGACAAGTTTCAATTCCAACTCGTTTTCATCCAAATTTATTCGCACGATACTTTGGTCCATTTCAAGTATTACAACAAGTGGGGCAGGTGGCATTTAGACTCAAGCTACCAGAAACAGCCAGGATTCACTTGGTGTTCCACGTGTCCCAATTAAAGAAGGTTATGGGGGATAAAAGGGTCGAAAAGGAGTTGCCTGAGGAGTTGTAAGCAGAGGGATCGAGTTTCTGGCCAATAAGCGTCTTAGACAGGAGGCAACTTCAGCAGGGTGAGGAGATATTACACCAAGTTCTGGTGCAGTGGCAACAAGGGGTCAAAGAGGGAGCTACATGGGAAGATACAACAACTATTCAGGATCAGTATCCCGAGTTCAACCTTGGGGACAAGGTTGTTGAAGGCGGGGTGGGGAGGGGGGGTAATAATAGAAGATTATTAGTATATGAGAGGAGAAGGAAACGTTAGTTCTCTAACTGTTTTGACAGTTAGATAAGGGCGGGAATATGTGTATAAATAGGAGAGAGTTAGTTGTAGAAGGGATCTTTGGACGTTTGGTGTATTTTGAACAGGACTGTTATTCCTGTTGGGGGAGAGTGAGCATTGATTAGGTTTCTTGATTGGAAACCTATCAAAAGACAATGATGGTCCACCTGCTAAGTTAATGTGGTACTTGCCTATAATACCTAGGTTGAAACGATTGTTTTCCGTTAAAGAATATGCGAAAAATCTTAAATGACACGTTGATGGAAGAAAGTGGGATAATGTTCCTCGACACCTAGCTGATTCCCCACAATGGAATAAGATTGATGAAATGTTTCCAGAATTTAGTGTAGAGCCAAAAAACTTAAGACTTGTACTTGCTACCGATGGTATGAATCCTTACGGCAATTTAAGTAGCAAACATAGTTCATGGCTAGTTCTGCTGATGATTTACAATCTATGTCCTATGTTATGCATGAAGAGAAAATATATGATGTTATCTATGATGTTATCTATGATGATATCGGGTCCTAGACAACCTAGAAATGAAATTGATGTGTATCTAAAATCGTTAATTGATGATTTAAAAATGTTGTCGAAAGAGGGCATTGAGGTCTTCGATTCAAATTTAGAAAAAAACTTTCGTTCGTGTGAAATGTTGTTTTTCACAATAAATGATTTCCCAACATATGGAAACTTGAGTGGTTACAATGTTAAAGGTCATTTTGCTTGACTGATTTGTGAAGAAAATATTAGTTATCTTCAATTGAAGTATGGGTACAAAACTGTGTATACAAGACACCAAAGATTCCCTTCACGAACCCTTACCGTAGATTAAAAAAACGTTATGTGGAAGCTCTAAAGATGATGTTGTGTCTAGTCCTCGCAATGGGAAAGAAGTATACAACAAGTGAAGAACATTGATGTTGTTTTTGGAAAAACTAAAAAGAAGACCATTGAGAAAAACATTTGGAAGAAGCGATCAATATTCTTTAATCTTCCATATTGGTGTAAACTTGATGTACGACATTGTATAGACGTGATGCACGTTTTAAAAATGTATGTGATAGTGTTGTCGGGACTTTACTAAACATAAAAGGAAAGACAAAAGATGGAGTCAAAACACGACAAGACTTGGCTAACTTGGAAATTTGTTCTAAGTTACATCCGCAATCCATTGGAAGACATACATATCTTCCTCCAGCTTGTCACACTCCTTCGAAAAAGAAAAACAAATTATTTTTCAATGTTTACATAGTGTGAAGGTTCCAAAAAGTTATTCATCAAATATTAGTAGTCTTGTGTCTATGCAAGATTTAAAGTTAGTTGGTTTAAAGTTTTACGATTGTCTTGTCTTCAAAACCTTTTATCCGTAGTTATACGAGGCATATTACATGTTTTTGTTAGAGGTATTCTCACATGTTTGAGTTTGTTTTAATGTCATTTGCAAGAAAGTTGTTGATCCTCAACAGTTAGATGATTTACAAAATGAGGACATTAGAGTATTGTGCCAATTGGAAATATATTTCTTACCCTCATGTCTTGATATCATGGTTCGTTTGATTGTTCATCTAGTGAGAGAAATTTGAATATGTGGGTCAGTTTTCTTGAGGTGGATGTACCTAGTTGAGAGCTACATGAAGATCTTAAAGGGATATGTTAAGAATCAATTAAGACCGAAAGCTTCGATTATAGAGCGCTACATTACAGAGGAAACCATTGAATTCTGCTCAAGTTATATGTCAAGTTGTGAATCAATAGGACTTCCAAAGAATAAACATGAAGGAAAATGTAAAGGTAAGGGAGTTCGAGGAGTGAAGATTGAAAGTGTTAGTAGAAAAGAAGTTAATCAAGCTCATTTGTTCATCTTAAACAACACAAAGGATGTTATTACTTGCATTTCACAACACATTGATGAAATAAAGTCTACACACCCGCGTATGAGTGAAATGTGTGCACTTCATAAACATAACAAATCCTTCTTAACTTGGTTTAAGAAAAAGGTTTACACAACTCCAAATGTTTCTGAAAATCTATTGAGACTAGCTCGTGGACCTAATAATGATGTGATCACTTTCGGTGTATGAGGATCCTCCACGCTTAATGGCCGTTGGACGACAGATTGCAGGAGGACAGACCATTCATGGTGCTCCTTTATTGCCCAATCACGCACATGTCACGATTGATGAAGTCAAAGACCCCCACGCTCGAGTACCTGTGCCAACATTTGAAATCCAATTCATGGGGAGGCCTTAGGCACATTTATAACTTGGCCTAAGGTTGTGATCATGCCATAATTTGGCCCACCAACAATATTATATTGTTATTCTTAGTATTTTTATCTTCAAGTTATAAATAAATTATTCCTAACTTTTATAAATTTGTCTTTTAGTTATATCGTCCTAACAAACAACCAATGGCTGAACATGTGAGCCAAGAAGTTGATGAGGCAGCAGAATATGATGATGATCCTCTAACCATATTGATGAAGAAATTACACACGTTGAATAAAGGACCGGTAGAGCTATATTGGAATTAAAAGTATTTGGCTTTCAGTGTCATGTGTTATTGTATATTGCTCTAAATGATACATTGGAGGTCTTTGGTGGAGAAAGAATGTTAAACATTTCAATAATACAACTATGGTGCATGTAACTTGTTTAATTGTCATTTATCTTTAACTTAATAATTTTCGTAGTTGAATTTAAATAATCATATTTGCCTATTTTCTTTCCCATGTTTAGTGTAATAAGCAAATAGATTCTTAGGCATGCGGGTATTATATCATGTCATGGATGAAGACAATCACCAAAGCAAGAGTCAAAGAAGATTGGACTGTGATAATAATTGTTACCAATGAGGAGCATTGGTATCTTGAAGCTACTGTGAAATTTTGATGATGATAAAAGCTGAAGAATTGAAGACTCTAAATGCATCTTTGTTAAACGCATTTTGTAGAAACAAATGTATAGGATAAAATGTGATGATGTAAAAACTCTTAGAAGTTTTCGTATTTAGTGAGTCATTGCACAAATAATTGATTATCAAGAGGAATAATCGATTATCACGAGCCAATTTAGAAGAGAGTTGCTCGCGCAAATAATCGATTATTACACAGAATAATCGATTATCAATGTTTCATTTAATTCTGTCCAAGTCTCTGGAATAATCGATTATTGCTCAGGATAATCGATTATCACTTTTTTGAAAACCCCATAACGGACACAAATAATCGATTATCACTTATGATAATCGATTATCAGTGGCAGTTGGGAGATGTCTTTTCAGTTGTTGA